AATCGTCACGGTGTAAGAACGTAGGCAGAGCCTATATTTGGGTGATGTGTTGAGAGCAGATGGAAATTAGGGCTGGGACGGACTCCCCCTGACAGCAGGGAACTGGAAGCCTGAGGATGAGAAGAAATGCTGGGACCGCGAGAGGAAAGTAGGGCGTGGGGACGGAGGAGATGGGAGAGAGCTGTGGCCCTCGGACTAGAAGACCGAGAGGATCCGGAAGAACAGCAGTCGGCTCTGTAGATGCCGCGGTGCTGGAACTGTAGGGGGAGATCTGTGAGGGAATGCCAAGCGCAGAGGTGGTGCCCACAGAACCAATCAGGCCTTCTTCCAGGGTGCCAACACAATGACGGGTGGGTTTGAATGAAATCTGGCAAAGTGTGTAAGTCAACTCCTTGTCTTTGGTAGCTAACCTCATTGTTAGAAAATAGCTCCCTTCCCTCCTTCCCCCATCCCCTTCCTTTCATCCTTCTTCTTTTTAGATTTACTTATGGGACACGGTGAAACTTAATGGTAACATCCTTTGGAAAGAGACCATCCGGGTTGGGCTCTCATTCAGCGCAGCCTTTTCCCGGATGTGAGACAGAGAAAATTCCTCCCCACCTCGTTCGCTCCCATCTGTAAACCAGAAGAACAAATACCTGTCTCACGGGATTGAAAGGCTGACGTGAAATGATGACCACAGGCACTCGGTGCGGGGCGTGGAGTACTTAACACAATTCTTGGAGCGCTCAGTGCAGTGTCTCTAACATTGGATACGGAGCCTACAGTACCTAACCCAGACCCTGAAGCACTCAGTTCAGGGCCTGCAGCTCTTAGCGCAGGACCTCTGGTATCCATCACAGTGCTTAGCCCTCAGCCTGATGCCTGCCTCACTTCCCAGAACAGGGCCTGTAGGGCACAGTGAGAGGGGGCAGCTGTTATTCTTTATCCAGCTGTTGTTTAGTCATGATATTTTATATTCTGCCTGTATTTCTCAACCTCCCACATCGGGACCCCTAAGCCATATTTCTTTGCGCTTTACTGTATACATCACACCATTGCATCTCTGGTATTTTACTGAATCCATTTTACAGAGAAGGCAAGTAGAACAGGGCAGAGCTGAACGCCGAATCGAGATCCTTCTCAACCGCAGGGAAAAGCCAAGGCTGTCGGTGAAATCTGCAGACAGATTCTTCACTGGGACATTAGCATGCAGGAACAATTAGGTAAGTAAAGAACAGTCTGTTCTCCTGGTCCTTAACAGATTAGCCTTTATCAGCGGTTCCACCACATAAAATATTTTATGAGTTTGCCTTGCAGTGCTGAAATGCCAGGCGTTGAGTGTTGAGGTGACTCACCAACGCAGACCGACTTCGTCGGCTGAAGTCCATGGAGCCCCTTGAGTTTGACAAACTGTTGCTTGATGTTCCAGATTAGGACATGGGAGGCGAATCTTCAGGATGAGCAGACCAGAGTCAACTCTAAATGCAACATGGGGTGAAAAGTTCTTAACCATTAAGAGCCTTGGTACAGATGGGGCCAACCCTAAGCCCTCAGGTCTGGGCAGAGGTCAGAAAAGAGGTCTATGTGTGTAGACTCTGGAGTCCAGACCACATTCACAAAGCATGAGTTCTCTTTTCTTGCCTCGTTCTTCGCTTCCTTCCAGCTAGCTGTAGACGAGAGGGACGTCACCGGGTAGGCATGGAGGGAACTCTGAGAGCATCTTCTTGGAAGTAGTAAATGCAAGCAGAAGATGTTCTGGCTGTTGGGTGTGATCATGCGTGGCACGTGCCTATGATCCCAGCACTTGGGAGGCTGAGGGACAGCATGGTGAGTTAGTGGCTAACCTGCTCTACACAGTGGGACTGTGACTGACAGCAGCCTCCCCTGATTAATGTATAAATTGACCCAAACTGAGTCTATTTCACTTACACGTTTAAAATGTGCCCAGGATATATGTTTGTGTCAGTGAGGTCTCTCTCTCCTGCTTCTCTCTCTCTCCTCTTTTCCTCTTTCCTCTCTCTTTCCCTTCTCTCTGTCTCCCTCTCTCTTCCTTCTTCTTTTTCTCCCTCCCTCCCTTCCTCCCTCCCTCCCTCCCTCCCTCCCTCCCTCCCTCCCTCCCTCTCTGTCTCTGTCTCTCTCTCTCTGCGTGTGTGTATATGTGTGTGTGTGTGTGCACGTGTGCGCACATGCATATGTAAGGGGAAAAAAATCTAACAATAGCTAACTTCCAGACTTAGATCCAAGAAGGACTGGGCCACTGTAGACACACAGGAGCCTGCATTTCAGAGAGAGCTCCGATTTCACTAGGAGGTAGAGCAGAAAGGCCCTGGCTGGTGGCTATGGTGACAGGGTTACTGTTGATCAATATTTAAATAGAGGCTCCCGAGCAGGTACAAGCATGCAGAGGGGCACATGTACAGGGAGGATTGTCTGCATCCGTTTCCTGGGGCTGAATTGCAAACATCTGTTACAGTACAAGTCAGTACAGACGAGCCAGTGGTAGCCAAATGACCTGGACCTGAATGTCTTCCTTGTGCGCCAGAGACTTGGAGTTAGGTGATAGTCACCATTAAATGCTCAGGCAGTGTGTTTAACTGTGTGCACAGACTGGTTAGAGGGGTCAGGACACCGTCCACTTCACTTTCAGGGACTCGTTACTGCCAATTGCTGTTCTTTTAGTATTTATAGTGAATTCCAAATCTCTCCTTGACTTTGCGTGATTGAACTACTCCTATTCCTGTCATCATGGGCTGTTTGGGCTTTCGGCTAACACATGTAAGCAACTGGAAAGAACCAGACCGCCCATCTGCCTACCCCAGACATTCATTTCTATGTAACAACCTCTGCGGTGACCTGGACATCCGAAGAACTGGATCCTAATCATATTTCTTTCTCTGGTCAAGTACAACTAGTAGAAGAGTAATTGAGCCTTCCTTTCTGCCTCTAAATGTGTTAAAGAGAAATGATTGTCCCTGCCCCATTTATCACTGAAGATTTGGTAGAGATAAAATAAGCCAGCTTGGGCGAGGTAGTTAAAAAACAGAGGAGGGGGGATGCCGAATGGAGTTAGCAGAATGAAGGTAACAGCAGAGCTCACTTACTTTGGATGCCACTCATGCAGAATTGATGCGTACGCAGAGGGGGCCTACAAAAGTTCACCTTTGCCCTGTTACAGAAAGGGATTTATTAAATAATTGAACACCATGAAATAATAGATGAGGGGGTATGTTTAACCTACTTATGAGAATGATCCGGCTTCATACACTTAAGAGCAGTCATTTACCAATTAAAAATTCATGAGTCATTCCTGTGTTCGCTCTACAAGCCCTGGAACACCTCCGGTTAGCTACACTCAGCTGTGCAAATCAGAATCAAAAACTGAGCTGTCGCCCAGTGAATCATGGCCCACATTTCCAACCTGAGTTTCAAGTATGGCTCCATGGAACAGCACTCATCCAGCATGCACAAGGCCCCGCCACCCCTGTCAGTCACCCGGCATCACAAGGCCCTGTCAGTCACCTGGCATGCACAAGGCCCTGTCACCCCCGTCACCCGGCAAGCACACGGCCCCGTGTTCAATCCCCAGCTTCTGAAGCAAAGCAAGCTTTAGATAGACAGGGTGAGCCTGACTTTCACTCAGGAAGATGTCTGGATTCTCTTTCTACCAGGCAAACAAATATAGTATCTACCGTCAGTCCAGCCTGCACTGTCAGTTCGGAGAAGGACTAATGTTGCCTTCAGTCTCTCCCTGTAAGCAGCCTGGATGACCTATGAAAATCATTGACGACTCTTGATGTGGAAAACCCTGCAATCCCATATAAGTCAAGAGGTTCAAATGTCTGTATTCACTTTAAGAATGTCCATGAATCTGCTCAGGACATTGAGTGTTTTCCTATCCCAAAAGCCACATCTAAAAGATGTCACCTCAAAGAGGCAAGGTGGGGTTGGGTGTGGTGGCATGCACCTTTGTTCCCAGCATGTTGGATACAGGGAAGGGCAGATCTCATGAGCTTGAGACCAGCTTGGTCTACCTAGTGAAAACTTGACTCAAAATGAAAAAAAAAAAACAAAACAAAAAAACAGAGAGGTAGTGTATAGTATTCTGGTGTTATAATGGCAGAGTTGGAAAGTGCCCAGGCAGGACACAGGGTCGGTGGCCTAGAAAAAGTGCTGAGCATTTCCCACATATACTTAAAAATAAAGAGAGCTCTTCTGAACTTAAGCCTCTAGATACTGGTTCTCTAGTCTTCCAGATATCCAGATCACCAAGGTACCCAAACATGCCACCATGCTTAACAGAGATCATGGTCAGATTAGCCCATATGTGAGATCCCCTGTCACATGGAAAGACCCCTCACTGGATGTGGTGGTTTGAACAGGAACAGCTCTCATAGGCTCATGTATTTGAACGCTTGGTCATTAGAGAGTGGCACTTCTTGATAGGGATTAGGAGGTGTGGCCTTGTTGGAGGAAGTATGTCACTGGGGGTGGACTTTGGGGTTTCAAATGCTCAAGGCAGGCCCAGTCTTTCTCTTTCCTGCTGCCTACAGATCTGGATGTAGAAGTCTCACATACCTCTCCAGCACCATGTCTGCCTGCATGCTACCATGCTTCCCACCATGCTGGTAATGGACTAAACCTCTGAAACTGTAAGCTAGCCCCAATTAAATGTTTTCTTTTATAAGAGGTGCCATGGTCGTGGTGTCTCTTCACAGCATTAGAACATTTGACTAAGACACCAGAAAAGAACAAATGGTGCCTAAGGCAGAGTTTGCACAGTAGAAAAAAAATAAATAGATATTCTCAAAGAAACAAAAAGTTATGACATGCAAACACATTCAAAACAAAATACATGCAAATAAAACTTGTTGTTGTTTTAATTATTGTTCCTGGGGCTAGAGAGATGTTTCAGCAGTTAAGAGTGCTTACGTCTCTTGCAGAGGACCGAAGTTTAGCTCCCAGCACCATGCTATCAGGCAGCTCACAAACACCTGCAGTTTCAGTTCCAGGGAATCCAATGCCCTCTTCAGGCCTCCGTGGACACCTGCACTAAAGTGTACATAAACATACACAGATGTATACACATACATGCAACCAAAGATAACCAATCAGTTTTAAATGTGCTATTCCAGTTTCCTCCTAAACCAGTCCTGTTTCCTCTATGTGAGATCTTGCACCGAGATGCAGACTCACCAGCAATGAGAAAAACAAACATGAACTTTAATATTGCTTCCCTTTCTCCTTTCTTCCCTGGCCAGTGAGAAGGTTGGGGGTAGGGATACTGAAGCTTTAATTACCCAAAGTGTCTATAAACAATCACCCCCACACATATATCAGTAATTCATACAGACTGGGAGAAAAATCATAAGAAACTAAATGTCCTAAAGGTGACAGATACCACAAGTTTCATGAAAAGTATTTTATTAACTGCCTGGCATAACTATGCAGGTTTCCCTCTTGAGAACATTCTGTTGCAGAGTCATTCTATGTGTGACGGGGCCAGGTGCACACGTACCATGGGATGCATGTGCCGGTCAGAGGCCAACTTGTCTGGCTTGGTTCTCTTTTACCTTGTGGTTCCGGAGAAGGCATGTTTTCCTGCTGAGCATCTTCCTGGCCCTTGATTATCTTTTCATCTGATTACAGCCCTACCCACAAGGGAAGACAATTTAACATTTTCTCATGGTGGATCCACATTTCCTCTTAAATACTTGTTTTGATGTGTGTGTGTGTGTGTGTGTGTGTGTGTGTGCACATGTGTGAATGCAGATATCGTCAAGGGTAGAAGAGGCATCGTGTCTCCTAGAACTGGAGTTCTAAGCAGTTGTAGCCATTCATATTAGTGCCGGGAACCAAAGGCAGAACCTCAGCAAGAGCAGTACATTGCTCTTAACCACCAAGTCATCTCTCCAGCCCCCCAATTTTTTTTTTGAATTGACGATTCTATTATTGTGTTTTTAGTGTCTCATCTTGTAATTGGCCAAGTCATATTCATTTTATGGTTATAGTAAAACTTGAAAATCTTTTCTCATTTCTATCGTGGCTTGCCATGCCTGTTCTGTGTGGAATTCACACTGTACAAACAGGAATTCCCATAAATTCTGCTGTTCATAACACTCATTGCTCATAACCTCAGGGCTAGGGCTGGGACTCGGTGGTCAAGCGCTCGCCTAGCGTGTGTGAGGTCTTGGGCTTGATCCCTAACACAGCAAAAAGAACAACAAAGGTCCTTGTTTCTCTTTTTCTTTTTTGTTTTTTTTTTTAAATTTATTTATTTATTAAGGATTTCTGCCTCCTCCCCGCCACTGCCTCCCATTTCCCTCCCCCTCCCCTGATCAAGTCCCTCTCCCTCATCAGCTCGAAGAGCAATCAGGGTTCCCTGACCTGTGGGAAGCCCAAGGACCGCCCACCTCCATCCAGGTTTAGTAAGGTGAGCATCCAAACTGCCTAGGCTACCACAAAGCCAGTACGTGCAGTAGGATCAAAAACCCACTGCAATTGTTCTTGAGTTCTCAGTAGTCCTCATTGTCCGCTATGTTCAGCAAGTCCGGTTTTATCCCATGCTTTTTCAGACCCAGGCCAGCTGGCCTTGGTGAATTCCCGATAGAACATCCCCATTGTCTCAGTGTGTGGGTATACCCCTCGCGGTCCTGAGTTCCTTGCTCGTGCTCCCTCTCCTTCTGCTCCTGATTTGGACCTTGAGATTTCTGTCCGGTGCTCCAATGTGGGTCTCTGTCTCTGTCTCCTTACATCGCCTGATGAAGGTTAATATTCAGGAGGATGCCTATATACCACTCTTGGGAATATACCCAAGAGAGGCACTATCATACAACAAAAGTATATGCTCAACTATGTTCATAGCAGCATTGTTTGTAATAGCCAGAACTTGGAAACAACCTAGATGCCCTTCAATGGAAGAATGGATGAAGAAAGTATGGAATATATACATATTAGAATATTACTCAGCAGTAAAAACAAGGACTTCTTGAATTTTGCATACAAATGGATGGAAATAGAAAACACTATCCTGAGTGAGGTAAGCCAGACCCAAAAAGAGGAACATGGGATGTACTCACTCATATTTGGTTTCTAGCCATAAATAAAGGATATTGAGCTTATAATTCGCGATCCTAGAGAAGCTAAATAAGAAGGTGAATCCAAAGGTCCTTGTTTCTTTATGATTTTGTAACTGCAATTCCAGGCTGCTTCTTGCTAAGAAGGGACTTCTGGTCTGAAGAATGAAGAGCAGGATGACCATCCTACACGCTTCTGTATCTGTTGTCAGGAGAGAACTTCCCACATCTTTCCTGGCTCCATACACTTCAGCACTGAGCACCATAGGGTTCATTTCGTTTCCACATGACCTCGGGTCCTGGATCTGCACACCAGTGGGTGGCTGAGTTGGCACAGTAGGCGAAAGGAGTGTTTTAGAAAGCCATTCCTGCTTGGGATGACTTGCAATAATGTGATGTGATGAGCGTGGGAGTGTCTGTGATCCACGTGAACCCATCTCCATAAATGCAAACACAAAGCCTAGTTCTCCTCCCCACCCCGTGTGCCTGCGGGACTCGACATTTTCACCTCACCTAGAGAAAGAGATGTGACTACAATGGGCATGGGGGCAGGAGGGGAGATGCTCAGCCAACTGCAATTAAAATAACTGACTTTTGAAGAGCAAAATAGTTGGTGAACCTGAGGATGCATTTACGGATGGTGTTTGCGGATGCTCTTGGACACTCAGGAAGATCCCACAAGTAAGGGATCCTGGGATCAAGCTTCAGAGACCACATGGTCTCTGAGAAAGAGCTGTAGCTCTTGGCACTGCAGAAACAGCTGTGTGGCTCATGGCCACAGGGAAGGCCAGGACTGCTGTCTGAGCAAAGACAGCGTGGCATCCACAAGTCCGGTCAAGCAAGGGGCAATGGTTTCATTGGCGGGTTCGAACAGAGGCAGCTGCAATCCTGTGCGCAGCAGTAGATCCTGCCGCATCGCTCTGGGCTTGCTGTCGCGGGTGCTAATTGGGAGTAATTGTGCCCTTTGTCCACTACAACCCATCGTTGATGCACTGAGACATTTACAAGAAAGCAACCCATGACTCCCATGGAATGACGTCACCAAGAAGCAGTCATTCTCTCATGATTAAAACATAGCTTTTGGTCTAAACTTAGGCTACTGAATGAAAGCTTCTGTATACACAGCACAAATACTTGACATCCACCAGGATCAGAGGGATGGGCGACTGCTCTGGGCTGGAAATGCCGGTTCCCACGAATGTTTCGTATATGAGCAATAGAGACACTGGGAGAAGGGATGGCAGTGGAATTTCTGTCTAGAGGCGAGAACCCTTTGAAAATCAAGCTATGCTCAGAAGCTAGAGGAAGGCTGGGCAGAGAGATGAAAGTGACAGATAGGGCCCAGATGAATGTTCTAGGAGCCCCGAATGTGGCCAGGCCTGAAGCACTGTTTGTCTTCTGTTGAACACGAGTTCATTTTGTCCCTGACACGCTCAAGCCAGTTTCCCTGACTTTCTGCTCACCGCAGCGAGAAGAATGCTGATTGATGCAGCAGAGAATCAAACCAAGGCGAGAGGGAGATTTGAGTCTGTTACCATGGTGACCACAGCAGGGTCAAGCGAAGAAAGCTTTGCAGAAGACAGGGTCTGTTGGGACTTAGTTCCGCCTTTTGGTGCAGCAGACGGCAGACTGTCAGGGGGTGTACTCGGTTTGGGGTGAATGGATCAGGATTTTACTAGCGCTTATCTGCTTACTTCTTTCATAAACCTGAGGACAGCGAACATTAGAGGTCCCAGCTTTTCTATGCCCGGAATGGGGAAAACGTGCTTACCTGGCACGTAAGGTTGTGTCTGTGGACTCCTCAGCAGAGGATGCTTCCTGACTAGTTGAGCCTTCCTGGCACCGCGGTCACAGGCATCAAAGCTGCTGCAATGTAAAATAGCCACATCTGTTGCTAGCATTCTTGCGATTTTTCCCCCTCCTTACCACCTTTGAATGTCATCTCCTTTCTTGCTGTTAATCCTGAAACATGCCATTGAAACTGTAATGACTGCAGTTACTTGAACGGACACTTCATTTTCACGTTTTCCACCCGTCATCTTCCATCCCGACAGTAGGGACGCAGAGCAGGGCACATCCTGCTATGGTTTTGATGTGTCCCCCTTAAATGTCTATATGTTGGAAATTGGATCCTCAGTTTCATTCATGAGGGGTGTGCTGGATAGTTTTATGTCAGCGTGACACAAGCTAAAGTCACGCGAGAGGAGGGGACCTCAGTTGAGAAAATGCCTCCATAAGACTGGGCTATAAGCAAACCTGTAGCTCTTTCTGGTTTTTGAGACAGGGTTTCTCTGTGTAGCCCTGGCTGTCTTGGAACTCCCAGATATCCCCCTGTCTCTACCTCCCAAGTGCTGGGATTAAAAGTATGGGCCATTACTGCCCAGTTATGGGCATTTTCTTAATTAGTGATTGATGAGGAGGGCTCAGATCATTGTGGGTGGTGCCACCCATGGGCTGGTGGTCCTGGCTTCTCTAAGAAAGCAGCTGAGCAAGCTGTGACGAGCAAGCCAGTAAGGAACACCCTTCTGTGTCGTCTGTTTCAGCTCCTTCCTCCAGGTTCCTGTCCTGTTGAGTTCTTGCCTTGATTTTCTTCAGTGATGAAGAGTGAGCTAGAAGAGCAAGCCAAATAAACCTTTTCCTCCCCAGTTTGCTTTTTGGCCATGGTGTTTCATCACAGCAGCAGTAACCCTAAGACAAGTGGTATTTGGATGTGGCACCTCTGGGAAGGGAGCAGTCAGACTTAGATGAGGTCATTTGCATGAGGTCCTCCCCCCATGACACTACTGACTGAATAGGCTGAAATCAGACCCTAGTTAGTAGGTTTGTTATGCATCACCTCATGAGGCCCTCACCAGAAATGAAACATACCAGTGCCAGCCTCTAGAACCGTGTGTGTGTATGTCTGTGTGTCTGTGTCTGTGTGTGCATGTTTGAATATGTGTGGGCACCTAACTTTGTGTGCACGCATGTGGAGGTGGAAGTTGATGTTGGTGGTCTATCTCCCCTGCTCTCCACTTTATACAGAGACAAAGGTCTTTCTCTGAAACTAAAGCTTGCCAGTTCCAGCTCATCCACCTAGCCAGCTCACCCCAGGAGTCTCCGGTCTGTCTCCAGAGTGTATCGGGATTACAGGTGGCTGCCATGCCTGTTCAGCTTATATCGGGCTCTTGGGGACCTGAATTCCTGTCCTCATGCTTGTGGGACAAGACCTCTATCCACTGCGTCATCTTCCCATCTGACTCTGATTCTTTACAAATTAATCAGTCTCATTCTTTTTACTATAGCAACAGAAAGAAACTAAGACACACCATGCTTCTGGCCAGCAAGAATGCATTTAGAGATTCAGGATCTGTCTACACCATTAGTATAAGCCAGGTAGAATGGCTTGCAGATGCAGTTCTTGGTGAAGGAGAACTCCCCATGGGATTGTTTACCGTTAGGGTTTTTGTTTCTCAGAAAACTTATGACAGCCGTATTATTGTTTTGAACTTCAGACCACAGTTATTTGTGTAACTGAAGAATCTGCCAAGTATCTCGATAGGTTAGGGTGGGGACAACCCAGCCAACGCCCCACCTGAGGATGTCCTGGGATGTGAGCAGGAAAGTGTTCCTGGACTTCACCCAGCCTGGTCCCAAACCCAGACTTCACAAGAAGCTTGGATTAGGTAAAAGGCACACACACAGACACACACGCTTACAGAATTATGGGGCTAGGAAATAAGAATCATGTGAACAGCCTTCTTCTTCTTCTTCTTCTTCTTCTTCTTCTTCTTCTTCTTCTCCTCCTCCTCCTCCTCCTCCTCCTCCTCCTCCTCCTCCTCCTTCTTCTTCTGCCATTGTCAATCCTGTGAGAAGCAATGATCCCCACTTCATAAGAAGCATTCTGGAGACCCAGGAGAGAAATCTAAGCAGTTTATTTTACAACCTCACAAGAATAGATGTCAGCTAGTAAAAAGGCAAAATGGCTGGCATGTTGATTTGACACAAAATGGAACTTTCATATGCTTAATTGCATTTGTCTGCCTCCTGATTCCTCTCTGGCAAAGTTCTTCAGGAGGTAAACCTTGCTGGTGTCCATTATTGTGCCCAATCAGATCACCCATTCTATTTGTTCAATGCACAAAGCCTTATCCAGTGCATATCTGAGGGCTCAAGATTCCCCTCCAGTCTCTTCCTTTTTCTGGTATGTTGGCTCAGTGGTGTAGCAGACTGCCTGAAACTTTTCAACCCTGGGATGAACTGAGTCTGCAAGCTTAGACAAGCAGGCACCAGCTGCCAGCTAGGGAAGACAGGAGCCAAGTGTCTCCTGCTTCTCCATGAGTCTCTGGTGAGTTCTAAATGCACCTCCTACTGCAGGGGATGCTAATGTAATAAATAAATAATTATGGTAAGTGTTCATCTCTATATTCTATATACCTGTTTGTAAAGCTCAGAATTGGCTTTGATTTGTTTGTTTGTTGTTTCGATTATCAGTGATTTAAGAAATTTACAGGGTCCAGAGAGATGGTTCGGTTGGTAAAGTGTTTACCATGAAAGCACAGAGACCCGAGTCAGGATCCCCAGCATGCACATAAAAAAAGCCACAGGTCTATGTGTGTGTATGTGTGTCATGGTAAGTGTGACGACTAATCTTAGTTGTTAACTTGACTACATCCGGAATCAACTAAAACCCAGGTAGCTGGGCAGGCCTGTGAGGAATCTTCTTGACTGGATCATTTGAGGTGGGAAGACCCACCCTGAGTTTGGGAGGGAAGAAAGAAGGAAGATTTTGCTTGCCCTCACTCTGGCTGTCAAGTCCATCTTTCCTGCTGCCGAGATGTTCCCTCACTGCAGTAACAGCAGACAGGCACTGCCATCGAAAGGGTGTCTGTGCCCGCCAAGTGCCCACCAGCCAGGGGACAGACACCATGAATGCTCAGCCAGAGTCCCAACTGTAGTTATCTGAACTGAGCGCCGAGCCAAGGTGAGACCTTGGACAAGTCATCTCCCCTCTGGGGTTTTCTCTCCTCTGTGAACGCTGGGATGACCGAGTGACAGAAAAGCAACAAACTGCAGCAAACTGCAACATACTGCCAAGCCCCAGGACGCTCAGAGCCTGACCACCTGGTCCTTCCCATTCCCCCAAGCGCCTCCTTGCCAAAGCTGAAAGATGCCTGGTTTCAGATATTACAAACACGACCGGCTCCCTAAGTCTGTTGCTGGTTCTTTAAGAAATACAATATTAACAACAAGGGTTCTACTTAGAACAATTCCTGGGAACTGGTTGAGCCAGTCTAGTGAGAAACTGAGGGCACTTTCAGCTAGGGCCGGCCTCTCCCTACCTGCCTGTTCCTTCCTGGGCAGCTGCTGCTACCAGCCAAGAGTCAGGAGAAGTCTGAACCAGCTGAAGCTGCCTGGGACAGCTCCCTGAATTCTGGCCTTGGCCAGGCTCGCTGGGGCTTTAATAATACAATAAAACCCAGCTTCTAAAGCACACAAAGGCTTTTGGAAAGCAAGAGATAAAAGGGACTTTGTTCTGTTCCCGCTGAGAACAGTATATATCCATAGGTGTTCCCACAGACGCTGGTCCCTTGGCGGTGGCTGTGCTGGTTTCTTCCCCTCCCTCCCCCCTGCCGCCACACATCTTGCTGTTGACTGAGAGCTATGGATGGCTTAGAATAAAAACAGCGTCCAGGAGGTGAGCTTTAAGAAGCACACACCGACAAAGGCAGATTGGAAGCCTCCTGGGCTTTTGTCTGCATTCCCCTCTTCCCTCAGACCACGGGATTGTTGGCCCTGCAGGGAGCTATGTCCACTTCATCAGAAAGTCATTGTGGGCTCACGGTGACCCTGAATGCCATTGGAGCATGGGTGGCTGGAAAGACAAAGCCATCTTGGCCTCCTTGCCCTGTGCTGGAGGCTGCATCGTGCCTGTAAGAGAGGCAGCCAGGGCCACACACCACACACCACAGGAAAGTCCCAAGATGTACATCCCTTGTCCTGTGACTCTGGCTGGCCCAACATCCATTTTTCCCTTTGCAGACACCGAGCTCATAAGCTTGGGTTTATGTAGCTGCCTTCTGCACAGTTGTCTCCCTCCATTTTATCCTTCCACATAGTCCAAACTGGGAGATGGCGTTAGCCCCGGTACTCATCCCAGCCCATCTCTAATACTAGAGAGTAAGAAACAGGAGGCAGAGGGACAGAAGAGATGCCCAGCTAATAATGCCAGAAGCCTTAGACCTGTGCTCATATCCCCACCACATGCCTTAAAGCCAAGTGGGCAAGTCTAGCAAAGACAGAGGGATCTCCAGAGGTCATTGGCCAGTCAGTTTCCTGGAAAGAGTGTCTCAAAATATAAAGTGTAGAGCAACTGAGGAAGTCAGTCTCTGACTTTCATATGCACATACGCACATATGAACACACACACTACATACCCTTATATCCCTCCACATGTATATAAGAAACAGAGAGCTGGTGATGGGGCCAAGAAAGCTAAGCTGGTGTCATATGGGGGGAATCAGAGTCTTGCGCTCCTTGCTCTGCCTTCAACAAGAAAAAACTATTCTTCATCCATTTGTCATCTTGCAGAGGGTGGGTCCTAAACTGCTGGAGGAAGAGAAAGCCTCTGTCTAAACTGCTAAACTGCTCTGGATTGAAAAGAAACCCGGCAGTGAGCCAGGTGGTGGTGGCACACACCTTTAATCCTAGCACTTGGGAGGCAGAGGTAGGCGGATCTCTGGTCTACAAGAGCTAGTTCCAGGACAGGCTCTAGAAAGAAAGCCTGTCTCGAAAAAACAAAAAACAAAACAAACAAACAAACAAAAAACAAAAAAAGAAAAAAAGAAAAAGGAACCCTGTAGTGGCTGTACAGAAAAGTATACAGATTTGATGCTATTTGCTTATGTGTGTGAGAGTATATGTGTGTGTGTGCTGTACAACATGATATTTAAATATATTTACACATCATGGAATTAGATAATCAAATATTAGCTTTTTTTGCTTCATACAAATATCATTTTTGTAATACTATTCAACACCCACACTGCCCTTCTTCCCAGACCATAATATACTGCAGTCTATTCAGCAGCCCTCTTGAACTTGTTCTTCTTCATTGGAGTATATACCTTTGACCTGCTTCCCCCCTCCCCCCAGTCCTGACCTTTGCTCTGTCCAACCCACTGAAAACTGATGGTGCCCAACCCAGGATCTTGGAACTGCTTCCAGGCAGTCAGGGAGTTACAGCATTTCCATAGTAGCCTGCCTTGGCTTCTTCCTAGATAGCTTCTAGGCATTCTGGGTGGAATCTTCCCCCAGTCATCTTGTCGTGTAGTTCTGCTTCCCCCCTCCCCCACTGCTCTCACACCTTAGCCATACGTGTTTAGCCCATCCCCGTTGACTGTGGACAAGCTTGTTCTACTGTTGAGATGGAATATATTCTACACCTTCAGGATTTCATACTCCAGATGGATGGCTTCACCTTCCTTTTCTAAACTGCTGAGGTTTCCTATAGCCTATGGTATCAAGCCTAAAGTCTTGATGCTGTTATTTAAAGTTTTACTTATTGGCCTTGTTCTATATCCAATTGTTTATGTATCAAATACTAATTTGACCTGTTTTTTAATTTTTGTCTTTTTAAATTTATTTTTTGACTTGTTATTAATAACAACCCAACATGCGATAGTCATTTTTAACTCTTACTTTAAGAAGTCCTCTTTTGATCCTCCCCCTCCTCTTGGCACCATCCAGGCTAAGCAGGACTTCTGGAATGCTGGTCTCTTCTCTGTCAAATTGAATCTGCAATTAGCTGTCAATCAGTCACCAGGAAAAGAGGAATGAGGTGTGGCCATCAGACCACATGCGGGCTCAGACTGCAGCTGGCAAGACATCAAGTTCCAAGTAGACCCAGTGCAGGCTGCCTGGAGGCTCTTGTTCTTTTCCTTATGAATGACCCTTGCTGCGTGTCTGCCCCTCTCCTCCCCAGCTGATTCTAGCCACTCTACAGTTTCTGTATCCTAACAGCGTTGGCTTCTGTGGCTTCAGCTCGCCTTAGACCCTCTAGTTCCACTTTTACCACATGAGACACCTGCTCCAAGTTTTTGGGCACCTGCCTGGGCTGGTGGTTCTCTCATTTCAGCTTCTCAAAGAGAATTTGGTCTACATAGCTCCTCTTTTTCTGCTGGTTCAAGTCATGGGCCTCAGGCTGCCCAAGAGTGAACCATGCCCCTTGGCTTAGTCATTTAACTGTGGCTTCTTGAAGATGGCCAAGGTTCATCTGTGGAGACTAGAGTTGCAAGGGAAGCTTTGTCTCCACATGGCAGCCCTGGGTGTGTAAGTGCTATTACAAAGACTCTTAGAACCTGATGGGGATCACACCCCCTCTACATGTCTCTTCTCCTTCTTTTCTTATCTTCTCTACCCATGAGATTGTATTCTTGATTATTCATGTTGTATATGTCTTCTAACACTTAGATATCCACCCCAATGGATATACAAATCACAACCCCCAAACACAAAAAAGCAAAGCCACGCAACCCTTTCAAAAGATCATAACTCTTCAGCTACTGAGTCCAAAGATGCTGAAATGGATGCAAATGGCAGGTGAAGAAGTCCAAGGCTTCCTGGTGAAAATGAACAGTGACTCAAAGAGGGATGCAAGTGAGCTGATGAAAAAAACAAGGAAATAAATTAAGGACCCAGAGGAGAAAACTAAACACCGATGACAAACCAGCAAAGAAAAAAAAAAAAAGAAAAGGTTTTGAAAAAAAAGAAATAATGTAAATCAAAAATGCAATGAC